CTGCAGAAATCCCCTCCTGACACCCCCCCAGCCTTTGAAAACAGATTCACAGGGAACACCCCATCACCACCCCCCTGCAAGGCTCCCCCAGGGAATAAGTTAAAGCCGTTTTCCGGGATCCCAGAGGGAAACCCCCTAGAGGGATGGCAGCCTTGGGGTTTCCATTCCCATCCGCCCTCATCCGCCTGATGCTGCATGGAGCCGGGGAGCATTCACAGGGCTGAGCGAGCCCCTGGGGCTGGGGGGAAGGGGAGAAGGTGGGAGCGCATCCGGAGAACGTGTGCGGAAGGTGGTGGGACTTGGCAAGGGGGAGGGGGGCCTTTTTTTTCCCGAGGGCGTTGCTCATGTCCAGCTCAAACCAGTACAAGAAACCAACCTCCATTTTCTTTATTTCGTGGGTTTTTTTCAGACTGTTAAAAAGAAAAAAAATTTTAAAAAGAGAAAATGACAAAAAAAAAAAAATCCTGGTACATGAAATAAAGATTTTTTTTTTATATAACTTGGTCCTCGTTTATGTGGATTTATTGGGGGGGGAGGGGATTTATTGTCCCACTATGCTGGGGGAGTACCTGGAAACCCAGCAAGAGAGTCAACTATTGCGGACAGTTTTGTCCTCTTTGGCAACTCAGCGGATGGTCTTGCTTCAACTGCTCTTCTCCAGCCAGTCTTCGAGATTCAAGGAGGAAGGAAGAGGCAAGAGGAGAGGGTTTTGCCACACAACTCTTTCTGAAGTAAGTGCAGGTAAACTCAAGTCACAAATGGGCTTTCCCCGCTGCCCTCCAAAACATCTGCTCCAGCCCCCATTCAGACCCTACTGTTGCCCCTCCTGTCCTGTTCCTACCATGGGGGTGTTACCACGAGGGACAATGCCCCAGCTCCCACCTGAAGACCATGGACGTCATGGCAGCAAGCCAGGAACCACCAGCGAGCTCAGAATTCATGCAGGCTTGAGGGCTTAAAAAAGAATGAGAAAAGAAAGCGGGCCTAATGTTGTTTTGGGGTTTTATTCAGCCACTCGTGGGATTTCTGGGGATTCCCTCAGTAGCTGGGTTGGCAGTGGCCTCCTGGTGGAAATGCTCAGCGTCAGAGCCTGGAGCTGGGGGGTTACTTACAGCCAGAGCCGCAGACCCAGAAACGGGTGAGGTGGCAGCAGGGCAGGGAGGTGAGAGCCCTGCAAAGGGGACTGGGATCCAGGTGTGTCCCCTCACCTCCCACCCCACCACGGGCAACAGGGGTACCACCAACACACCAAGACTCCCTCACCCTCCTCTGGGCTCCTGCTTGCCGTGGGACCCTTTGTGGCTTTCTGGAGTGGACCAGAATCCCCACGATGTCCCATCACCACCAGCTCAGAGGGGTGACAGGGAAGAGCAGCCATCTGAGTGACAAAGCCCCTCTGAAGCACAGCCGGGGTCTGACCTATGGTGGGCAAGTGAGACCACAAGCCGAATGAGCAGGTGGGACCAGGGGGATTAATTTGGTGGCGGCAGGGGGACAGCAGGGTGAAAGCACACCTGGCTCCAGCTGTCCTGGCAAACACTGATGGTGGCAGACATGGATGGGTCACAGCACTGCAGTCCCCCTCTGCCACTCAAAGCACCTCACAAAAGTTGATACCAGTGCTCAGCATCTGGATCCCTCAGCCAGCACCTGTGGGTCCCCACTCTGCCCCTCCCCGGCCCCTGCCTCTAGCCCACCCCCCTCCATCTCACCCCTCTCCTTTGGGTCCCCAGTAGCACCTTGCACCCACCCTGCGCCTCCCCGCTGTGCCTGTCAGCACACACATTTTGTGGGCCAGCCGGTGGGACGCTTCACCGACAAGGTAATTGGGGGCACCCGGCGCCCCATTTCTGCTGCTCCTTCTCTAGGGACCCTTACTGGGAACAGCCTCGCCGAGAAGGAGGGCAAGAGGAGGGGAGAGACAGCTAAGCGGGCCAGGCACCAGCTCCGAGGGACGCCAGGGAGCTCCCAGCCCCACCGCACACAGGTCTAGGATGCAGCTGCCTCCCCACCCTGTCTGGCTCACAGACCCCAAAACCTTCTCACCGGCTCACATCCCCTTGCCTGTCTCTGAAGCTGCCCCCAGTGATGGATGCCCCCACCAAAGCATGGGTGGGATGAGCTGGAGAGACTCCCCTGCATCTTCTCCATCTTCCCTGTGATGTTTCCAGCCCCATCCTGCTGCAGACCTTGTCCACCCCTATGCCAGTGGGGCACTGGGGAGATCTGCCTGCAATTCCCACACGATTCCCTGCCCAGAGGGGAGGGGGTGCGTGGCTCAGCCCCCCTACACAACCCCATGAGGTGCTCCTTCCTCACAGGGTGCAGATGGTC